TTTTTTTATTCGCTTTGGGTACTTATTTTCACAAGTAAGGTGTACATTTTCAAAACTCTTAGTACAAAAATCCAAACTGATCACACTGTAACGCAGCTAGTCATTCTTTCAAACCTGATGTAATGCTTTCAGTCAGTTGCACATGTTTTCAGTCCACATAATCATTATTTTCAAACACAAGATTATTGTAATAATTGTAATGAGAACATTTGGTTTAATCACTGAAAACACAACAATATGATCTTCTTTCAGTTTAGTACTTTTAACAATCAGTTCATCCAACAGCAAACAATGCAAGATACATGTTTCAAATCGGCCTTAGAAGTGCTGAAATGAATATGCTGCAGTACTATAAAAGACAGATTACACAGTTTTACTGTAACATTAGGCAATACACTTACAGTACCCAACATTTACATAATCTATAATTTCCAAATATCCATCATATATGTAGGCCTATCAAATGAAGGATCAATGAAGACATCCTCTACAATCATTTAGGCAAATTGATAGTTTTTATTTTTCAGATATAATTGTAACATAGGTATACTTTCTATAATGAAATGTAACTAAATAAGAACAATACATAACATTTAGTGCACACATACAGTACATAGTGGCCAATTGTGGTCACTGGTCACCACTATGTGAAATCAATTAGCTATAACGAGTATTCATCATGTGTGGTTACTGGTTACATGTAATTTAAATATTCATACAAACACACATTTTATTTCTGTAGTTCTCAAAATTCCATATACTGTATATTGCTGAAATGAAAAATCTATAGGTTTACCAAATGATTCATTGATTAACCATTAAGATCTGTTGGATTAAATAATAGACAAAAAGTATTAAACTGAACAAAAAGAGATGCTAATCCAAAAGTTTGATAGTAAGAGCTTTATGAAAGGCAGTTACTGTGAATGAAACAATAATGTAGATGAAACACTTATTTTGTGTTGTGAAATGGATTACTTTGTGATTGTGTGAATTGTACTAACACAGTTGAAAACATGATGAAATGTTTGAAAAAAGTGCACTTTTGATGATCTGTTGTGATATTAGCACTAAGAGTTTTGAAAATGTACCCTTACTTGTTGAAAATAGTACCAAAGCGAACAAAAAAAACTGTATTATGAACATAAAACCTGTGATGTAAAGCTCAGTGATATGGCAGTCAGACAACAGTTGCCATTTTCAACTTATTTTATTTGCTGGTTATGGAGATTGCACTATGAAAGCTAATTGAATGTTAGTCACTGCAAGAAAAAAAAAACTTAGTATTTTTGTCTTTTTCATTACAGAATCTAAAAAAGTCTGCCTATGTCTATCTATCTATCTATCTATCTATCTATCTATATATATATATATATATATATATATAAAGTATACAAAAATAAAACATTTACTAACATGAGCAATGCATTTGTGACAGTATTATTTATTAATCTTTGTTAATGATAGTTAATATAAATCCAGCTGTTCCTTTTTAGTTCATGTTAGTTCACAGTGCATTAATAATGTTAACAAATACAACTTTTGATTTGAATAATGAATTGGTAAATGTTAAATTTAACTAACTATGGTTAATAAATGCTGTAGAAGTATTGTTCATTCTTAGTTTATGTTAACTAATGACATTTTATTGTAAAGTGTTAACATTTGGTTTTCTTTTTCAATTAAGTTTATTTCTTTCCCCACTAACAGATACTTTTCTTGGGACAAACTTATTTTTTAATATTTTTCAGAAAACAAGACTTTCATTTTGCTCTTCAAGTAAATTCATTTTAATTAAGAATGTTTAGATATTTGTGTGCACACAAAATTGTTTTGCAGTTTGCTTTGTTTCTTAAAAAGATCATTTTAAATCTGCTTTAAAAAGAGTTTAAGGATTTTGAAGAATGGTCATTAACATTAAAATAAAAGCATCCATGGATGAGAATGATATATTCGTATGATATCTGTATTAAAAAAGTAAATCGCATCACCAAAATACTATTTATTTAGTTTTGTTGTTTTTTTCCCCGTTGGCACTTTGAGACAGACAGTTTATTTGTAACTTGCACAACTATAAATTCAGTGAGGAAATATTGCTTTATTTTGTTTTAAAGTCACAAATCAGAAGCATAATCATCATGCGTAATCTAAGCTGTTTTATGCATCCGGCTCAGATCAGTCAAAGGTGTTGCAGAAGTCCTTCTGGCAGCACTTGATGTTGATGTAGGCGTTCTGCTTCTGCATCTCGCAGTCTGACTTTGACATGCACTTTTGGAAATGACCATCTGTTTCAAACAAAACCAGAATTTTTTTTTTAAAAAAAACATCTTTTAGATGACATTAATAATAACACATTGCCCAAAAACAGCCCATTTGTGTTATTGTCTGAATGGACAGCAACACTCACATGGATGTCTGCGAAACTTAGCGGCGGCACACGCGTCTTTCTCCGGTGGGCAGGTCACAGCGCTGACCTCACAGGCCCCTCCCGCTTTAACCGGGGTGCAGAGATGGCAGTCCAGGGCCGTGCCTTAAACACACACGGGCCAATATTTCAAATCACACTTCCATTTTTGTGCCTTTTTTAACCCTTTGTGCTCGCAGTTTGGACTTGTTTTTGCTATTCTCCTGTGGACATTTTCAGAAATGTCATGTCCACACAGTAGGTACAGTAGTTCAACTACAGGTATTTAAGGACAAGTTCGGTATTTCACACTTAAAGCCCTGTTTCAAGATGGTTTCTGATGATATAGAACGGTTAAGATTGAAATTTGGATTTTGGACACAACCTGCTGTCCCGAGAAATTTCAGTTTCTGTGGTTGCAAGTTGGACAAAAACTAGGCTAAAACCTGTTGGAAAGCATCTTTTGCATCGATTTTTGTGTGAGCATATCAGTGAACACCCCGTCTTTGTAAACTAAAGTTTAATGCGTTTTAGGAAGGATTGTTCCAGTGCACCCTTCATCCCTTGTGGACATGCTGGGGACAGGCAACCACAGAAACCGAATTTTTTTGGGACCGCAGCATTTGTCAAAATTTTAATCTTAAAGGAGTAGTTCACTTTTAAAAAAACTTTTGCTGATAATTTACTCACCCCCATGTCATCCAAGATATCCATGTCTTTCTTTCCTCAGTCGAAAAGAAATTAAGGTTTCTGATGAAAACATTCCCAGATTTTTCTCCATATAATGGACTTCATTGGGAACCAAACGATTCGAGGTCCAAATGAAAGTTTCAGTGCAAACTGTTCAAAGGTTTTTAAACGATTCCAGACGATAAATAAGGGTCTTATCAAGCGAAATGATCGGTTATTTAAAAAAAATAACAGTTTAAGTTTTATAAACTCAAATGGTCACCTTGCTGTTCTGTGACGCACGTTTGTGACTCTCCTGTTCGAACTCTTTCATCAAAATGAACGAATCTTTTCCAGAGTCAACTCGTTCATTTCGTTCGTTGAATGAACCAAATGACACGAAAAAGATTTGTTCATTTTGATGAACGAGTTCGAACAGGAGAGTCACGAACGCGCATCACAGAACAGAGCAAGGTGAGCATTTGAGCTTATAAAACTTGAAATGTGTGTTTTTTTTTTTTTAATGAGCGATCTTTTTGCGTGATAAGACCCTTATTCATCATCTGGAATCGTTTAAAGCCCTTTGAACAGTTTGTAGTTTGCACTGAAACTGTCTTTTGGACCTTGAACCGTTTGGTTCCCATTGAAGTCCATTATATGGAGAAAATCCTGGAATGTTTTCATCAAAAACCTTAATTTCTTTTCGACTGAAGAAAGAAAGACATGGACATCTTGGATGACATGGGGGTGAGTAAATTATCAGCAAAAGTTTTTTTTAAAGTGAACTACTCCTTTAAGTGTGAAATACCGAACTTGTCCTTTAACTGACTTTTCCTACATGAGTGTTCTCATGTATTTTTCAGCACACAAAGGAGAGTTTCATTGCATCATAGATGACCTGTAGTCCGTTTTATGACGGGAAATCAATCATCACACTCACCGCCTGTTACGACCAGCATGAGAACAACAGCCAATATGAGAAACTTCATCATTCTGTCAAACAAACCGAAGAAGAGAAGCGACTCATTCATTATAGGTTATACAAGATAACTCTAAAGAGTATTAAAACTCACTAGACAGCAACCAACCAATTCAAACCAAACCCAAGCATAAAATAAACCATCATAAATAGTCTGAAGGAGTATGTGGTCAACGGCCATAATATTGCCAAGAGTAGATCAATTAAGTTTTATCTTATGTTTTATGATGCATCTCCTCATCCCTGTAAAAAAAAATAATAATATTAATAATTATGAATAAAACTCACGTTTGTACTGCAGTGGACGGAGTAAAACTGATCCTCTTTCTGTATGTATGTCTATATGAAACCTCACCTTTATCCTACAGTTTCTTATCAGTATCACCTCCCTCCTCTCTCTCTTTCTTTGTGCAAACAGACCAAGCCTGGTCATATATCAATAGTCTTGGCAAGAGAAAATTAAACAGTATTTCTCAACTTTATGGGTGTAACTGTGTGTTTGAAAGAAATGTCTGCAACTTCCTTCCTGTACTGTATCTTAGCTGGGGTCAGATAAACGGATGGATGGATGGACAGAGTTACAGTTTTTCTCAGTCGCTTTTCTCACACCACTATTTACATTTACACAACAGTTAGTTCAACCTCCACAACATTTAGTTGATAGCAGTTTCTCATTCCTTCCAACAAATTGGAAATGCTTTTGGACATGCATCAATTGCTTTTATACAACTCTCTGCGGGTTTGCTTATGTCATGTCATTCAAAATTAACTATCGTAGATAGATAGATAGACAGACAGACAGACAGACAGACAGACAGACAGACAGACAGACAGACAGACAGACAGACAGACAGACAGACAGACAGACAGACAGACAGCAGACAGACAGATAGATAGATAGATAGATAGATAGATAGATAGATAGATAGATAGATAGATAGATAGATAGATAGATAGATAGATAGATAGATAGATAGATAGATAGATAGATAGATAGATAGATAGATAGATAGATAGATAGATAGATAGATAGATAGATAGATAGATAGATAGATAGATAGATAGATAGATAGATAGATAGATAGATAGATAGATAGATAGATAGATAGATAGATAGATAGATAGATAGATAGATAGATAGATAGATAGATAGATAGATAGATAGATAGATAGATAGATAGATAGATAGACAGACAGACAGACAGACAGACAGACAGACAGACAGACAGACAGACAGATAGACAGACAGACAGACAGACAGACAGACAGACAGACAGACAGACAGACAGACAGACAGATAGATAGATAGATAGATAGATAGATAGATAGATAGATAGATAGATAGATAGATAGATAGATAGATAGATAGATAAACGGACGGCTGGATAGACGGACAGATAGCTAGCTAGCTAGCTAGCTAGATAGATAGATAGATAGATAGATAGATAGATAGATAGATAGATAGATAGATAGATAGATAGATAGATAGATAGATAGATAGATAGATAGATAGATAGATGATAGATAGATAGATAGACGGACGGACGGATAGATAGATAGACAGACGTATACATGATAGACAGACATACACAGACATATAGATAGATAGATAGATAGATAGATAGATAGATAGATAGATAGATAGATAGATAGATAGATAGATAGATAGATAGATAGATAGATAGATAGATTTGTTTGTTAATAGATTGTTTATGTTCAGCTCTGATCTGTGAGTGTGTGTGTGTTGTGTTGTGTTGTTTTGACTGTCTGCCAGCTTCAGTCGCTCACACACCCAAACAGTGAGTGTAAATCAGAGCTTTAACACAATAGATAGAGCCGTTCCTCACCCTTCTGAACGCCAATATCAGCAGAGCCCAGTGGAAGAGAAACTGTCCATGATGCAGAAACCGCTAAGCTCTTCATTGTGCCGCTTTTGTGGACAAAACCTCGCGATAAAACCACGCCGCGTACAGGCCACATATATCAGACAGCGCGGATCTTTCCCTCCGGTTGCTCTCTCTCTCTCTCTCACTCCAGTGGATCGGTGTCCAGGATCCAAGCAGGGAAGATGTCTCAGTATTCAGGGAAGGTGAGTACTGGACTCATATCTGCAGGAGTTTCAGAGTTTCAACATTTATATGTACATATATGCATTCTTATATACAATTTTGCATACAACAACAAATAAACATGAACATATAGAGACACACAACTAGTTCAGTAAACCAAATTCCCGTGCACCCATTTGCTCTCAAATTAATGCATTCATTTACATTATACCTTTCAATGCACAGGACCCAACAGTAATTCCAATAGATTTGAACTTACTATTTTAAAATCAAAATTAAATATTTTCACTGATCCCAATATATATTTTTTTTTAGCAATTTGCATGTCAGAAAGAATATAGCCTTCTATGTTCTTCCACAACATTAAGTCTTTTGTACAGAAAAGCATCATATCATTTATAATGTCAAATTCATTAATCATCCAATTTAGCTATTATTGCACATCATATAAAGTGTGATTTTCAGCTCATTTTAGCTGATGCTTCCATATTTTTACATTTTAAAACAACAAAACTTGTGACAACAGTGCAACCAGATGTTTATTGCAAAGCATAAAAACTCCTGTGCATGATGTTACTGAGCAGTGTGTGTGTGTGTACATCCCACTCAGTGTATTTCTGTACTTTGTGTTTAGCAAGTTTCTCCTCTGGGATCTAATCTAAACTGGGATCTAATTAAGATTCAGATAGTCTCTTCTAACCGGATCAAAAGCTGGTGATATTTCTGACAGGTTTCATCTTTGAAATAGATAAGAATTATTTGAGAAGTACATAAAACCAAAAGATGATTAATGCATTTGACCAAACGAGCTGTTCTAACTTACATTTGCCTGGTGCAATTTCAGAAGATGGAAAGTGTTAACAGTGTGATCCTCAGTTTCACAGAGTCTGTTGCATCACCAGTGATTGCAATTGGAAGAAAGCCCTCAGTAATAGTCCCTGACAAGCCTCCATCTTCTCTCAGATAGTGTTCTACGAGGAGAAGTGCTTCACGGGCAGGAGGCTGGAGGTGTTTGGAGACTGTGATAACTTCCAGGACCTTGGTTTCATGAACAGGGTGAACTCCATCCGCGTGGAGACCGGGGCTTGGGTGTGTTTCGACCATCCTGATTTCAAGGGACAGCAGTACATGCTGGAAAAAGGAGAGTATCCAGAATTCCAACGCTGGAATGCTCACAATGATCACATGGGCTCCTGCAAGCCAATCAAAATGGTGAGCATGAAAACACTATGAAAAGTTACCCTCATAATACTCATCTACACTCTCAGGGAAAAAAAAGGTCCAAAAGCTGTCACTGGGGCTGTACCTTTTCAAAAAAGTACGCTTTTGTACCTAAAGGGTGTAAAGTAGTACCTTAATGGTAAATATTAGCTTCTAAAATGTACATATTAGCATATAAATGTCCATATTAGCACCTAAAATGTACATATTAGCAATTAAATGTCCATAATAGCACCTAAAATGTACATATTAGCACCTAAATGTCCATATTAGCTTCTAAAATGTACATATTAGCAAATAAATGTCCATATTAGCACCGAAAATGAACATATTAGCACCTAAAATGGACAAAAGTTTATCTTTTGAAAAGGTACAGTCCTAGTGACAGCTTTTGTACCTTTTTTTCTGAGAGTGCATTCATTTTAAAACCATTAATGCGTGACAACACGACAAACAACCAATTCCAGACATTGCAGGAATCTGCAAATACTATACTGGATTTTAACTTTGGTTACCATTATTTATGAAAAGATATAATGGATTATAACGTACATTGCAATACATTATACAAGTGTTATCGATAATTTGATGTCATATTGTATCATTCAATTATTTAAATCAAGAGTCCTAAAAATCGGTATTGCATTCAAATTATTTTAATATGTTTATGTAAAAATTTCTTCATTTTTTGACAGTTTTTATATTATTTTAAACACTTTTATAAAAAAAAAGTTTTTAAATTTATCAAATATAATTTTTGATCATTTATCACTTTTAAAATGGGTGGTAGCATTGAAGGTCAAGTGACTGGAAAAAAATGACATTGTTCCTTAGTAATTTTTGTTTTGTTTTCCAGTACAAATATCTATCCTTAAATCAAGATATATTTAAGTATTCGGTTTTGCTTTCTGAAAAAATTAGAAAGATGTATTTAAGAAAAAAAATATGAATTAAGTTTATTTGTTGTGATCCCATACGCAGATATTTGTTCTTAATTTTGATTTTTTTTTTTTTTAGACTAGTAAGGGATAGTATACCAAAAATGAAAATCCATTTACTCACCCTGAAGTTGTTCAAACCTCAAATGAATTTCTTTCTTCTGCTGAACACAAAAGAAGATATTTTGAAAAAAAGCTGGTGACCAAGTTGATGGACCCCATTGACTTCCACTGTATTTTCCCCATATGTTAATGGGGTCCATCAATTGTTTAGTTACCCGCATTCTTCAAAATATCATCTTTTGTGTTCATAAGAAACTTGATGGTGAGTAGGCTAAATGATCACAGAATTGATTTTTTTTGTAATGTGTCACTCAATGTGGTCTGTCAGCACGGGGAGCAATACAGGATTGAGCTTTTCGAGGGTCCGAACTTCACTGGTCAGTGTGTTGAACTGTGTGACGACTGTCCCTTCCTCCAGAGCACTGGGATCAGCCAGAACTGCCTCAACTCCATCAAAGTCTACGGAGACGGCGCGTAAGTCCTTCAGGGCCAAACAATGCTTTATTAGTGATTCAATGAGTGAAAGGGTACGATATTGCAATGCCCCGCTAACGCTTTTAACTCTTTCCCCACCATTGACGGAATTTTCTATGTGTCCATGTTTTCACTGTTTTCACGGTAGGGGGCGCTGTTACGCATCTACTAAAATAGTACTGAATCTCCGGATCAAAACACGGGGTGAATCACAATTCTGAGAAAAGATGTCAGAATTTCGAGATATAAACTCGAGTAGCAATTATGTGTTATAAAGTCAGAATTGCGAGATGTAAACTTGCAATTGTGAGAAAAAGTCTTTTTTCCCCCTCAGAATCGCAACTTTATTTCTCAGAATTGCGACTTTTATCTGCAAGTTCGACTGTATTGCTCAGAATTGCGACTTTATATCTCGCAATTGCAACTTTATTTCTCAGAATGGTGACGTTATTTCTCGCAATTGCGACTTTATTTCTCAGAATTGCAAATTTATTTCTCACAATTCTGACTTCATATCTCGCAATTGTGAAATAAAAAACGTCACAATAATTTTTTATTAGGCTATTATTCAGTGGCGGAAACAAGCATCCATTGCAAAATGCTCGCACTGGGCAAAAAAAAAAAAAAAAGAAAAAAATCGTAGTATTTTTGTCTAGTTTTATGCCTTATTTATTATGTTTATATTTAAGTTTATGCTTAAAACAAGGATTGTTTTCTACCAGTAGGTTCAGAAAAAAAACTAGGAGATAATTTTTCTTGCAGAGAAACTCACTTTATTTTGATAATGTCTTTTAGAACTTAGAAAACTTGGTTTTAAAGGAAATGTCTCTTTTTTAGAATGCTTTACAGAAAAACAAGACTCCGTCAAGTTTAGCATTTGTAAATGTATTTAATTTAGTCTTTCTATCTCTCTACTGTTTAGTTGGGTCATGTACGAAGAGCCGAACTATCGTGGCCGCATGTACATTGTGGATAGAGGAAACTACGGCTCGTTTATGGACTGGCAAGCTGAGAATCCCAACATCCAGTCTATCCGCAAAGTGGTCAACTATTTCTAAACTTTTATTAAAGCAGCCTTGCTGTCTATAAAACGATAGATCAAATTATCAGAATTTTACCATTGATTTGTTTTAATGAATCACACAGCTATGTGCTTTTTATCCTCAATGATGAATCGGTGATTATTTTAAAAGAATATGCAATTAGCACAAATATTCGTGTATGTTTTATTATGTATTTGTACTGAGGCAATAAGCTAAAAATAAAAGTGAATTGTGAATGAGTTGTTCTCATACTTTTTTTTCAGAGTTCAAACATTCAGTGGCTTTCTGTAATAAATACACTGTAAAAAAAAGTATTTTTTGTCTCATTTTCATAAACAAATATTTAAACATTCTTAATTCAAGATTCATAAACTTGATGAGCAAAATGGCTGGAAGTCTTATTTTCTGAAGATTTTGTTTTAATCCAAATATTTTTCAGAAACTTTTCTTATATATATAATTTGCAAAAGTATCTTGATTTAAGTCTGAATAGGCTTACATGGTTCAAGTAAATGTTGATTTTTAAATATAAATAATAATACAAATTTTATCCCTTGGTCACAATCAGCATATATTCAGCAGAAACTGCAATACATGCAGACATTTTCACAATTATATTAAAATATTTTTTTCCTTCCTGAAGAGCATGAATTATCCACCAGGGGGCAGAAGACACGTAAGAAAACTGAAGACAGACAACCTAGCAACCACCCTAACAACTCCATAGCAACACCCACATTGGAGCAGTCCTATTACCAATATGTATTACAAGGTATAATGTAACAGACATCTGATATCTCAAATATCTCTTTTTTAGACATTCAGTATCGCAAGAACGTGCATATGATTGTCTTTCTCGCAGCCCATAATAATACAAGAAAATATTATTTAAGCCTACTTCAAAACTTCACATTTAATTGTATTTCTTGCCAATTCCATTTAATTATTTTTTAGTGTATAATGGCTCACTGTAAAAAAAAATATTTTCAAGATTTGTTATCACAACATTTTTTCTTTTGTCAAATCAACTTAAATAATTTATTTAGTTCAGATAACTTATTATTTTGAGTTTCTGATGATTAAATCAATCTCCTTCATTGTATTAACTCACTTTTTCCATTTCAATCAACTTAAAATTTTAAGGCAAACAACAATATTTTTTACAGTGCTGTAATAATGAATTTGCCAAGCCTAAATGAAATCTGTTGATCATATAAAGCGATCGAGTCTCTTCAGAAAATTTGGACTAAACTGCTCAAGAATTATTTATGATCTCTTGATGAACTTTTTCAAGTGTCACTCACTTGTGCAATGGAGGGACAGAAAGTTCTCAGATTTCATCAAAAAGATCTTCACTTGTGTTCTGAAGATGAACAAAAGTCGTACGGGTTTGGAACGGCATGAGTGACAGAATTTTTGGGAGAATTAACCCTTTCAATCTCAAGGTAACGCTCCTCGAGGTTTGCTTGGACAACAGTGCGAGTCTTTGTGTTGGTAAGTCTGAGAGTGTGTGTGAGGGGAATATCCTGGGTTTGTTCACGACAGCTGAGTATCCGGGGGTCTGTGGGGTGGAATGTGACCCTCTGAAGTTTTTTTTTGTTAGCGGAGGGAACAGAGCGGACAAAGCCATGACCTCCGGGGTCAGCCAGCGCTGGGGGTTTCTCTCACTCTCTCTCTCTCTCTCTCTCTCTCTCTCTCTCTCTCTCTCTCTCTCTCTCTCTCTCTCTCTCTCTCTCTCTCTCTCTCTCTCGTCAATCGGCTGTGAAGAAAACGTAGACCATGATCAGCATGACTGGTTCATCAGAGATTTGAAACTTTTCATTTAAAAGTCCAACTATGTCATAAAATAATGTGGTATCGGGTAATATTTCCATGTATTTTTATTCCTATTTATTGATCAAAGCTGAATTTTCAGCATCATTACTCCAGTCTTCAGTGTCACATGATCCTCCAGAAATCATAATATATGCTGATGTATTAGCTATCAATGTTGGAAACAGTTTACATTTTTGTTTTAATTAAATCTGTGATATTTTTTTCAGGATTTGTTGATCAATTAAAAGCTAAAAAAGAGCAGCGTTTATTTAAAATAGAAATCTTTTGTTATATACACCACTGTTAAAGTTTGGGGTCAGTAATTTAGTTTTTTTTTTTTTTTAAATAAATGAATACTTTTATTCAGAAATGATGTTAATTTTATTTATTTATTTTTTTTTAAAGTGGTAGTAATTATATTAAAAAATATCGTTAGAAAAAATTATTTTTATTAAATTATTTTCTTTGATTTGACAGCACTAATATATATTAGGGCAAAAGTCCATCCGTTTTATGTATTTTGAAAAGGGCTGTCAAAAGATCAATCGCATCCAAAATAAAAGTTTGTGTTTACATAATATTTGTGGGTGCACTGTGTATAGTTATTTTGTATATATATAAATAAACATATGTATATTTAAGAAATATATATATATATATATATATATATATATAATATTGATATTTATATATAATATAAATTATATATAAATCTATATACAGTATATACATGAAAATATTTCTTAAATATATACAAGCATGTGTGTGTATTTATATATAATAATTATACACAGTGCACCCACATATATTATGTAAACACAATCTTTTATTTTGGATACAATTAATCGTTTGACAGCCCTAGAAATAATAGAAAGTGTATGGTACAATATTTTATTTATTATTGATTATTGGGTTGTGCCTTTATTCGTGTGGGATGGATCTTTAAAGTCCACAATGTTTAATTTAAAATTACAAATGGGGGGAGAAATGCAATAGAAATTTACGAATAAACCAGGCTATTGGTCAACTGTATAGAATAGGATAATTATATTTTAATTATTTTGTTAACCGTTTTAATAAATTTAAAATAGATATAATTAAAAATAGTAACTGTAATTGAACTTAATCAAGTTTCGATTGAGAGCTCATTTAATTTTAGAGTCCACCACACACACAGTGGCCCTGGTGAACATCCGGGTTTCCCGCTGGCTCCGCTGCTGTGGCTCTCAGGAGCCATTTTGGACGCTGTTCAGCTTTTCGCATGTCAGTCCCTCCTGCCCCCTCCAACTGCCCCGGCAGAGGGGGAGAAACACACGAGCTCGCGCACACAAGGGGGCTTCGCTTCTACTCCAAGCGTCCGCCAAACTCTCGCTCCTCCACGCTGGCCCGGGCAGGATGAACTGCTGGATAATTGTGGCATCAGGGACTTTATTTCCGAACAGCGCGCGTCTAAAGGATACACTGTGTTGTTGTGAATGAGAGCTCGTGTTGTTATTGTAGCGTTGACGAAACGCGCGCAGGCCCGCGGCTCCTTCGCGTTCATGTGTTTTATTCCATTCTTAAATGCTTTCACGGCATAAAGGACACCATTTAGCGCCAGGATCCTCGAAGGAAGGAATATGTTTGTTCCCTGGCTGACTTTTGCACTCATCTGGTGCACAGGTAAGGCGTTCGTTTACAGAGATTTGGTTCATCTTCAATTAAAACGATAGTATCTGGTTGGCTTTGTTACTAAACCTAGTCGGCTCCCTATCTGGACAGCGTTTCTAGTTCGCACGTGAAGCCCGATAATGCTACTAGGTAGGCAGCGCACTCGGTTTTGAAACACTGACTGTGTTACCAAACCGTTCGTGTGTTTGGGTTCATTGTAACATTATTTGTTGTTCACTTACGTGTGTCGCGCTTATTTTGATATATTTCGTTTAGTTGTGGTTTAAAAGTTTCTTCTCGTGAGCGCTTTCTGTTTGTTTTAAAGACTTAATGGGCACAAAGTAAAAACAGCTGGTGGCGTGTTAAAACAATCGATCTCCACAAAACATTCAGCAGATTCACCTCATGTCTTCTTCGTGCAACATTTGGTTTCCCAGCTTGGTTTTGATTTCAGGACAGATTTATAGATATAATATAATAAACATCTCTCATTTCTTGCCTGGAATTTACATTGTGTTCAGTCCTTTATATGTGGACAATCACAATATTTGTGTTATATTTAAGGCATTTATAATTTATTATAGTCATTAATTGCCAAGTATTTGTTCAATAATTTAACTAAATTAGTTAAATATTGAAAATTATAACAATAACACTATAAAGTAAGCATCCGGTGCTGTCAAGAAAGAAAGAACTAAGTTATTTTTAAATAGTAGCCTAATAGGTTAAATTTTGTAAAAGTATAAAGGCAAATAAAAACTCTTTTAATGGTTATGGGTTGAGCTTTAGGTTTAATGGTGTCAAAAACACAGAAAACAAATAGAAATGTTATTAATAATAACAAATCTGTGCATCTTTCATTCAGCTGTGTCAAAGACAGCCAAATAAAGATAATAAAATAATAATAAAAATATTAATAATAACAACCTAAGGTGGTGTAGTGACATTAAAAACAAACACACACACACACACACACACATATATACATATATATATATATATTATACAAGTCAAATCAGCCAATTTTGATTAGATTTGTTGATAGAGAGATTAATATTTGTGTGTGTGTGTCCTTTTATGTAGCCATTTTTCATTTCCCGTTTGGTCCAGTGTTTGACCAGCAGACAAAGTGTTCTGCTTTGTCCAGCTATTGATGCTGATGTATTGATTCATTGTTTTAAGGAACAGTGAGGATATCTTATCCTAAAAGCTGATTTGTAGGAGTCCCTTACAGGTCGCTGTGAGGAGGTAACCCCTTCAAAACAAAAGAGTCTTTGATACACCCCTCTAGATCAGCGTGTGTGTGTGTGTCAGCTGCGGGGTGGTGACAGGGTGAAGAAAGGTAAAATCTGTGCGCTTTGGTGTGAATGCGCACCACAGGGGATCTTAGAAACACACTTACTCTGTGTGTGTGTGTGTGAATGAGGAAAGTGGAGTGCTGTGGGTTTTAAGTAGGGGGCTGCTGATGTAATTCACTCTGAGTCTGATCATGTGACACCCAGTATCAGTGACAAAGAAGCTATAGATTGAACATGTGCCGATCTATCGGCAGGAATTAGCCATTAAAAGCACGTTGGACATCAACTTGCATGAACCCTGTTGCTAAAGCTTTTGTAGCTCTTATTTCTGTTGACCCTGGGCGCTTTGGTGGGTAGGTGGGGTCACATTTGCAGGGGGGGATGGGTGGCCGGCAACTATACGTCGTATTTAAAGGGGCTGACTTTGTTTTTATTTTATTTTTTTAAAGCATGAAATGAGCATAAACCACCTTGTCGGTGTAGCCCATCCAACATTATGTCATAATCTGTATTTTCCCCCATTTAAATCTGACCCTAGGAGGCCTTTTTTCCTCGCCTGTTGTGTGTATCTTACGCTATGTAAACATCTCACAATCCATGACCCAGTTCTTTGTGCAAATGTGTGCGGTGGTGCACGCCGTCGGTTATATGAAGAAGTGCCCTCTGACAGCTGATCCGACATCTGGATTTGATTTGGTGGTTTTCTTAAAGACCACAGAAACTCAATTCACGGGTCTTAAATCGTCAACCCCTGAAGCATGTGGTTTGTGGCTGTGTGTTTTGGTACTGAGGTTTGATGGGTAGTTGAACACACACTGGGGTTTCTGATGACGGGGTTTTTAAGTGTTCAAATGTCTCATTAGGTTTTGATTGATAGATAAACGTTGCTTGTTATCTATTGAACTACTTTGCAGCTATGAAAACCGATATTTGATATATTATATAATAGTTATTTGTTTACTAATAACACTGTAAAAAATATTTTCAAGATTTGTTATCACAACATATTTTCTTTTGTCAAATCAACTTTATAGTAATTTATTTAGTTGAGAACTTATTTTTTTGAGTTTCTGATGGTTAAATTAATTGTATTAACTCACTTTTTCCAGATCAATCAACTTAAAATTTTAAGGCAACCCAGGTTACTTACTTTTTTAAGTTAAACCAACAATATTTTTTTACAGTGTAGTAATCACAACATTTTTTCTTTTGTCAAATCAACTTAAATAATTTATTTAGTTCAGATAACATATAATTTTGAGTTTCTGATGGTTAAATCATTCTCCTTCATTGTATTAACTCACTTTTTCCAGTTCAATGAACTTAAAATGGCAACCAGCTTACTTACTTTTTTAAGTTAAACCATCAATATTTTTTTTACAGTGAAGATGCAGCCACACTTTTACACTATTTTGTTTTCTAATACACTATACTGTAAGTGTATATTGTAACTTCAGAAGCATTTTTAAATATATAATTTACTTAATAGAGCGCTGCATTGATAATGTATTTTTTTTTAGCTCAACCAGGAAGTTAACATCACCCCTTTTTCACTCAGCAAAACCCAATTTTTCACTGTTTTTTGGATTTTTGCAGAAAAAAGCTCTGTGACCAACAAAAGTTTGTAATTCTTCCAAGTTTTGTTCATGTTGATATTCAAAGATGAACTATTATGAATTTTGAAGCCTTAAATACAGTTAAATATAGGCTGTAAGCGAACTACACAAGTCACATGACCTCAGTCACCACCAATAAGCTGCTTCCGACAACTTTTTCAATCTTTATTTAAAGAAACAAAAAAACATTGATTTTCTCTGAAATTTGTCGTTTCATCTTGTCGACATGAAAGTTTGAGTTAGAAGAGTTTGCAAGAGCGCGATTTATAAAAACAACACAACTGTAAAAAATATTTTCAAGATTTGTTATCACAACATATTTTCTTTTGTCAAATCAACTTTATAATAATTAATTTAGTTGAGATGATAACTTATTATTTTGAGTTTCTGATGGTTAAATTAATCTCCTTCATTGTATTAACTCACTTTTTCCAGTTCAATCAACCTAAAATTTTAAGGCAACCAGGTTACTTACTTTTTTTAAGTTAAACCAACAAAAAAAATGTACAGTGTAGTAATCACAACATTTTTTCTTTTGTCAAATCAACTTAAATAATTTATTTAGTTGAGAACTTATTATTTTGAGTTTCTAATGGTTAAATTAATCTCCTTCATTATATTAACTCACTTTTTCCAGTTCAAAGAACTTAAAGTAAGTAACCTGGTTGCCTTAAAATTTTAAGTTAAACCATCAATATTTTTTTACAGTGAAGGCTTTGAAAGCAAGTGAGTAGATGAGTTTACCTGATGACATAACACCCCTGACAACCTATATATATAGTCTTATTTAGACACTTGTTAGCAAACGCCGATTACAAGACAAGTAAAAGCTTTTTTTTTTTTTTAAATCACTTTTTTGTGTTGTTGATGTATTTCACGTCATAGAATAAAATGTGAAAATATCTTAAAGCATGTGTTCACCACCACAGACCTTATTTTCGGCATTTAACCAAAACCTCATTGGCTGTGTCCGAAATCGCCCCTTTACTATTTGAGGGACAGCCATTTGTAGCATTATCAAGTGCGCTCGTTCAATCCCACAAAGTGGTACAACTTATGTACACTCAACGGCTAGAGAATACCCATAATGCACTGTGAGAGTCGCAAGCCAAGTGAATTCCCGTGCATGAAGATGCCGCCCCCGGCTGAATCACCGTTTTCCAAACACAGCCATTGACTTCAGGACGATGGATTCGGAAGTGCAACTGATTTCTGTGTTCTGGCCTAGAAACGAATGCATTAAAGATTGAGATGTAGTAATAACTCGGTGTCTGTCTTTCTCTATCAGGAGCCAGTCATGCGGAGGTGGCGACCAGAGAGTGCGTCTACTACAATGATAACTGGCGGACAGAGAAAACCAATCAGAGTGGCTTTGAGAGGTGTGAGGGGGAGAAGGACAAGAGACTCCACTGTTACGCCTCCTGGTTGAACTCCAGCGGGACCATCCGCCTGGTCAAGAAAGGCTGCTGGCTCGACGACTTCAACTGTTACGACAGGTCTCGTCAAAACCACCTTTATATAATCTCACTCTTTGACTCTGTTTGACCCCCCCCCACACACACACTGATATGATCCAGGAAACAAATGTTTTATCACAATCATTGGAGTAGTTCACATTTGCTGATAATTTACTCACCAACTCAATTTACTCGAAAAGAAATTAAGGTTTTTGATGAAAACGTTCCAGGATTTTTCTCCATATAATGGACTTCAATGGGAACCAAACGGTTCAAGGTCCAAATGAGGGTTTCAGTGCAGCTTCAAAGGGCTTTAAACGTCACCAGACGATGAATAAGGGTCTTATCTAGCGGAACGAGCGGCCATTTAATAAATAAATAAATAAATAAACAAAGTTTAAGTTTTATAAGCTCAAATGCTCACCTTGCTCTGTTTTGTGACGCACGGTGTAAAGCGCTTTGGTGGCCATTAGGTCTATGAAAGCGCTATATAAATGCAGTCCATTTACCATTTACGTTTGTGACTCTCCTGTTCAAACTCGTTCATCCAAATTAACAAATACCGAGTCAATTCGTTCATTTTGTTCGCTGAATCAACCAAATGACTCGAAAAAGATTATTTTATTTTGATGAACCAGTTCGAACAGGAGAGTCACAAACGCGCATCACAGAGCAGATCAAGGCGAGCATTTGTGCTCATAAAAGCTAAACTTTGTTATTTATTTATTAAATGGCCGATCGTTTCACTTGATAAGACCCTTAATCATCGTCTGGAATCGTTAAAAGCCCTTTAAAGCTGCACTGAAACGCTCATTTGGACCTTGAACCGTTTGGTCCCCATTGAAGTCCATTATATGGAGAAAATCCTGGAATGTTTTCATCAAAAACCTTAATTTCTTTTCGACCGAAGAAAGAAAGACATGGACATCTTGGATGACATGGGGGTGAGTAAATTATCAGCAAAAGTTTTTTTTTTAAAAGTGAACTACTCCTTTAATATCCAAAGTCACCATATACAAGTGAATTTTGCATCCGATGACCCCTTTTAATCGAAAACCAAAAATGTGTGCAATGTTACAGCAACAACTAATTTTCAATTCCTCCCTTTCACTGTTTCTCTGTGTGAGCAGACAGGAGTGTGTGGCCACAGAAGAGAGTCCGCAGGTGTTTTTCTGCTGCTGCGAGGGAAACTATTGCAATGAGAAGTTCACACACCTGCCAGAAGCCATCGCCCCAGCAGGTAAAGCAGACTTCATGTGTCTCCTTTTGGCTCCTCTGGCCAAATCATAGCTGTGGATGCTACTTGTATTGCTGTTTGTAATGCAAATAGTTATGATTGTCAATGTTTTGGGTAGAATAAAACCTGTTTGTCATGTTATTGTCATGCTTAAAGGAGTAGTTCACTTTAAAAAAAACTTTTGCTGATAATTTACTCACCCCCATGTCATCCAAGATGTCCATGTCTTTCTTTCTTCAGTCGAAAAGAAATTAAGGGTTTTGATAAACATTTCAGGATTTTCTCCATATAATGGACTTCAATGGGAACCAAACGGTTCAAGGTCCAAAAGACAGTTTCAATACAAACTGCAAACTGTTCAAAGGGCTTTAAACGATTTCAGACGATGATTGAATAAGGGTCTTATCAAGCGAAACGATCACTCATTAAAAAAGAAAATAACAAAGTTTAACTTTTATAAACTCAAATGCTCGCCTTGCTCTGTTCTGTGATGCTCGTTCGTGACTCTCCTGTTCGAACTCGTTGATCTAATTAAACACATTTTTTCCTGAGTCAATACGTTCATTTCATTCGTTGATTGAACCAAATGAGTCGAAAAAAGATTAGTTAATTTTGATGAACAGAAGAGTAACGAACGTGCATCACAGAACAGAGCAAGGCAACCATTTGAACTTATAAAACTTTATTTTTTTTAAAAATGAGCGATCGTTTCGCTTGATAAGACTCTTATTCATTGTCTGGAATCGTTTAAAGCCCTTTGAACAGTTTGCACTGAAACTGTCTTTTGGACCTTGAACCGTTTGGTTCCCTATATGGAGAAAATCCTGGAATGTTTTCATCAAAAACTTTAATTTCTTTTCGACTGAAGAAAGTCTATTCACACAAATCTGACACATTGAAACATTCATAAAGAGCTCTTAAAATAAATCCATATGAATTCAGCGGTTCAATCCAAGTCTTCTGAAGACATACAATCCCTTTATATGATGAAAAGATGAATTTAGGCTTTTATTCACACATAAACATGATCAGCGAACATAAGTGTACTTGCTTGACTCACAAGAACAAAACTCACTTGTTCCTCCTTCCGTGACCATCACAGAATATGATGGATTATTATAAAGTTGATGTGTGGCCATTGCTGTGCGACGTTATAATGTCGTCAAACTTTTTTTATATAATTTGCATTTTATGTTGCACCTAAATATATATCTTGTCTGCTATTGCTGTTGAGCTGATGTTTTATTGTGTGTTTTCTTCTAGTAAAAATCCAGCCTCCAGACCCAGGCCCGTCTCTCCTGGGCGTGCTGGTTTATTCCCTTCTTCCTCTGGCCATCCTCTCTCTGGTCCTGGTGCTCGCCTGCTGGACGTACCACCAACGCAAACCACCCTACAGACACGTCGACATCGGCCAGGTCTGACATCTACTGTCTTTGTGCATTTTCAGTGCACAAAGTACCGAAACAGGGACATAATTTGTTACAATGTTGTGTTTTCTTGGTTCGATGCGTACCAAAATGTGCTTATGCAAGTCGCATGCGACAGTTTCCTCTGTGTCATCCATCAAAATAGATTGACAAGTTTGCTCCACCAGCATACTGTGGCTTTATTTGTTGCTGTCATGGCACATATGCACACACTATATGAACGTAGCCGTCATTCCCGCTCTAACTGATAAATGATACATAATGGAGCGGGAATCAAGGCTTCGTCGGGACAGCGTTTTTGCAATGCACAGAGAAGAGCAATTACACGACGTTTTAAGATGAAGAGACACTCTTTGGTGTTCAACTACGATATCTAATATACTCACAGAGTTATTACACATTACCTGTTATGAATTCTAAGACCGCTTGTTTCATTGGTCCGTTAGGTCGGATTGCTTTCGTACCTCAACAGAACCGTTTTTAATCGGGCAGAGACCACCTTCGATCAGGTGATCTCGGATTGAGTGTTTTGGTGTGGATCTGAGCATGATTGCCGTGTTCATAAATACCACACAAAGCGAACTAATGCAGAAACGAACACTCTGAACGAACCAGATTTGAAAACGCCCGTATAAAAATGTGCTTAATTTTTGTAACTCCATACATACACTTTTTTATTTTTATTTTTAAGAAGTTAAGTTCTTAAAGCTACACTGTGTAACTCTTTTAGTTTATTCTTAGCTAAAAACACTTAGTTCTTTCAAAAATATATGTGCTCATTAATGTATTTTTACTTCGTTCAAGTAATAAAGTATTCTCGTGAGTGTATAATATGCCATTGAAAATACATACGGGTAAGGGGTTCTAATGTCGGTCGCCATGTTGCCCCTCCATCTTGAAAGCACATTAGCCAAAGAGGGACATACCCGTTAATTCAAGCTTCGCCTTTTGCGTTTACGTTTCGGTTAACACTCATGGGCGAGGTCGAACTGGAAGCCATGTTAATCTTGGACTACATTGGCCACCGTAGAAGTTAAAAACGAAATCGGAATTGAGAGGAACAGAAACTAATATTCACTGGATGGTCATATATCTTTTCACCGCTAGATGGGGGTAAAAATCACACAGTGTAGCTTTAAAAAAAGTTAAAGGGTTAGTTGACACAAAAATAAAAACCCTGTCTGTAATGACTCTCCCTCATGTTGTTCCAACCCCGTAAGACCTTCGTTCATCTTCTGAACATGAATTAAGATATTTTTGATGAAATCTGAGAGCTGGATCACTCCTCCATACTAGTCCATAGGCTTCTTGAGGGATTGAAACTTGCCGGCCTCAAAAAGTTATTAAAGACATTGTTAAAATAGTCCAAGTGACTACAGTGGCTCAATCTTAACTTTATCAAATGACGAGAACACTTTTTGTGAGCAAAAAAAACGAAAATAACACACACATGACCAACGTCGGCCAATAGTGAGCCTACGTGTTGCGTAGCTCTACGCTATCACACTACGTTAACTGACTAGAGACGCAAAGATTTTTGTTTGTTTTTTGCGCACAAAAAGTGATTTCGTCGCTTGATAAAGTTAAGATTGAGCCACTGTAGTCACTTGGACTATTTTAACGATGTCTTCAATGACTTTTCGAGGCCGGCAAGTTTCAATCCCTCAAGAAGCCTATGGACTAGTATGCAGGAGTGATCCAGCTCTCAGATTTCATCAAAAATATCTTAATTTGTGTTCTGAAGATGAACGAAGGTTTTATGGGGTTTGAATACTGACATAATTTTCATTTTGGGTGAACTATCCCTTTAAATTAAGCTACGATGCATTCGTTTTATCAAAAGTGACCGTTATAATGTTACAAACGATTTCTATTTCAAATAAATTCTGTTCTATTGAACTTTCTATTCAATAAAAGGATCCGCAAAGAATTTTATTACGAATTCCACAAAAATATGAAACGGCACAGCTGTTCTTAACATTGATAATAATAAGAAATGTTTCTGGAGCAGCAAATCAGCATATTAGAGTGATTTCTGAAGGATCATGTGACACTGACTGAAGATCACATTCATTCACATGATTAAATTACATTTGAAAATATATTAAAATAGAAAATATTTCACAAATATACTCTTATACTCGTAGTAGTGAGCAAAATGTATGTCATATTAATGTTTATTCTTTGATTATACAGCTGCTCTTATATGTGATTTTAATTTTGATTGTCTTGATTAGGATGCTGGTCTTCCTCCACCGTCTCCACTGGTCGGACTAAAGCCTCTGCAGTTGCTGGAGTTGAAGGCTAGGGGGCGCTTTGGCTGTGTGTGGAAGGCCCAGTCCCTGAGCGAATATGTGGCGGTGAAAATATTTCCCATCCAGGTACTTATTCCACTCTTAAGAGGATTTCTTGTTTTGGTTTTCTCAAATGAGTTCTAATGCTTGCTTCTGAAACAATGTGTAACAGGACAAGCAGTCATGGCAGAACGAAAGAGACATTTACCTCACCGAGGGTTTTAAACATGAGAATATTCTACGCTACATCTCAGCTGAGAAACGAGGCACCAACCTTCAGATGGAGTTGTGGCTGGTCACAGAATTCCACGAAAGGGTCAGTGTGTGTTTCATTTTTCTTCGAATGTCCCTATAACTATAAAGTTGTGGGAGTAAAATGATGTTTTAAAGATGCACCAAATAAAAACTGCATGGAAGCAATCATAATGCCATAAAAATGTCAATCTTTATTCGTTGCAGGGCTCGCTAACAGATTACCTGAAGGGGAACCCGGTGAGCTGGCCTCAGTTGTGCCATATTTCCGCAAGTATGTGCCGTGGCCTGGCGTACCTTCATGAAGACCTTCCTTACCGTGCAGAGGGACCTAAACCAGCGATTGCACACAGGTACACAAACCTGATCTTGCAGCATTTGATGTGAAACTCTTTTAAAAGCTGTAGGCATTGGGTGATTTGATGTTTGTTTTGCAGAGATTTTAAGAGCAAGAATGTCCTGCTCAAGATGGATTTAACCGCAGTGATTGCAGACTTTGGGTTAGCGGTGCGCTTTGAGCCTGGGAAACCGCCTGGAGATACGCACGGTCAGGTGAGGATCTGAGCGCAAACAGATGAAGATGAGCCTTTGACTACTTTTCACTTCATATATCCTTATATAATATCTGAAATAAATTTGAAGTAAAAAAAAAAACGAAAACAATCTACTGCAATATGCAGTCATTTTGGGGTTGGTAATATTTTCTTTTTTCCTTACCAAGGCTACATTTATTTGTTAAAAAATACAATATTCCTGTTGTCAAAGCTGTATTTTCAGCATCATTACTCCAGTCTTTAGTGTCACATGATCCTTCAGAAATTACTCTAATATGCTGATTTGCTGCTTAAAAAAAGTCTTATCAATGTTAAAAATAGCTGTTGCTTCATATTTTTGTGGATTCTGTGATGCATTATTTAATGAATAGGAACTTCAAAAAAGCAGCATTAATTTGAAATAGAATTTGAAATAGATTTTAGAAATTTGAACTTTATCATTGCCTTAACTATGAATTCTAATATGTTTAAAGCATCCTCGCTGAAGTTATTTCTTTAAAAAATAATAATAATAATTCAATGACCCCAAATTGTATATCATCATTTCAGGAAAAAATCAATAACATAAATGCAATCAGAAAAAAATCTAAAATATAAATGCAAATCCAATGAAACACTAGTCTAACCCATCTTATTCTTGCAATTTTCCATTGTGCTGTGAAAATATTGCTGCTCTTATGATAAAGTGCTTGTGATGTTTCTCTTCGTCTTGGAATAAAAGCATCTGCTAAATAAATAAATGTAAAAACATTTTGTTTTCAGTCCGAGATCAAATCAATTTTACAGAAGGATTATAAAAATGAAAAAGCTTAATAAAAAGAAAAGGCAAATGTGTCGGTCCCGACACATCTTCATTACTTCAGTTCAAATAAATAACGTTAAAAAAATCTGAAGCTAAGAAATACAAATATATATATATATATATATATATATTTGTTAATATAAAATAGTATGAATTTTACTGTTATATAAATATACACATGTCATAAATATATAAATACTATATATATATATATGGATATAATTGATATATATATATATATATATATATATATATATATATATATATATATATATATATATATATATATATATATATATATATATATATATTATATATATAAAATATATATAAATTATATTATAAATTATAAATATATATAAAATAAATATATATAAAATTTGTTAATATAAAATAGTATTTATATCTAAACATAAATATATGAATTTTATTGTTATAAAAATATAAATGTCATAAATATATAAATACTTTATATATATATATATATATATATAATACAAATTTTTTTTGTAAGCTTTCATATTTTTTCATTGTGCCAATTATAAGTCAACATAAGTGCAAGTTTGAATAATTGGATGTTGCCAAGGTTGTGTAATGACAGTGAAGCTGTGTGTCTAATATGTGATTGTGTTTTCTGTGCCCGTCACAGGTGGGAACGCGCCGTTACATGGCCCCAGAGGTGCTGGAGGGAGCCATTAATTTCCAAAGGGACGCCTTCCTGAGGATCGACATGTACGCTCTAGGACTGGTGCTCTGGGAACTGGTGTCTCGCTGCACCGCCTCTGATGGTGAGTCCACACACACTTCAGGATCTCCGGCTCTGTGTGTGCAGTCTGGAATTTATGCATGTTTAAATTGAATTACTTACTGAGGAGAATACTAAACCATAATGAGTATATAATATAATATATATACAGTATAGCCTAATCAGCACATAAACTTTAAAGCTTGCAAGGAGATATTTTAATTATTTATTAATAAACCAGTGTTTTTTAAGTCAGTGTCGGCTGCCATCTCCGCTGTATAGTGAAATGCACCATTACATAATCAGAGTATTTCTACATTTCAAGCTTTCTATAGATATATTGCTCTCATGTCTGTGATGCAAGTCTCCTGAGTTTTGGTTCGTTTTTGGGACATGTAGTAGCTTACTTTAAGAATACTTTATCTTCCACACTCTACACAAATGCTTGCATATGCACCTAATGATAGCACACATTTATCTAAGTTAACATTAGAGCGAGCTAGTGACTTTATTTTATTTTTTATTACCGACTAGTAAAATGTTGGTCGTCTATGCCTCTTCTCGTCGACTAACGTTTAGTGAAGTTTTAGGGGTAGCCCTGATATTGTGTGTGCTGTTGCTGTCTCACTCAGGTCCTGTAGGCGAGTACCAGCTGCCCTTTGAGGAGGAGGTGGGCCAGCACCCTTCCCTGGAGGACCTTCAAGACGCGGTGGTCCACAAGAAGATACGGCCCATCTTTAAAGACTGCTGGATTAAACATCCGGTGAGAAAATACATTTGAATAGGAATTAGGGCTGCACTGTTAATCCAAATCAAACCAAACCATATGTTCCTTTACACGCGAGCAGGTCCTGATCTGCTTGTTTTCAGCGGTTCACTGTAAATTCTGATCCACATAAACTTCATCTCTTGCCACGTACATTTAATAAATATTTTAATATTTTTATTTAGTAATAATAATAAAAACTTTATTATTATTATTATGAAATTTATAGCCATATTAATATTCACAGCACAACACAGCAAACCTGGATTTTTTTTGAAATCGCAATTGAAATCAGAAATCTATGGAAGCTTGTTTCTGCCACTGAATAAAAAAATAATAATAATTGCGACTTTTTCTTACAATTGCGAGATATGAAGTCGCAATTGCGAGACATAGTCGCAATCGTGAGAAATAAAGTAGCAATCGTGAGAAATAAAGTAGCAATTGCGAGAAATAAAGTAGCAGTTGCGAGAAATAAAGTAGCAAATGCGAGAAATAGTCGCAATTGCGTGAAATAAAGTCGCAATTGCGAGAAATAAAGTAGCAATTGCAAGAAATAGTCGCAATCGTTAGAAATAAAATAGCGATTGCGCGAAATAAAGTCACAATTGTGAGAAATAAAGTAATTAAATAAAGAAATAAAGACTTTTTATCTCACTTTTTCTCACAATTGCGAGTTTAAATCTCGCAATTCTGACTTTATAACATATAATTGCGAATTTATATCTCAATTCTGACATCTTTTCTCAGAATTGTGAGATATAAACGCGCAATTGCGAGGATAACTTTTTTCCCCCTCAGAAGAGTTTATATCTCGCAATTCTGACTTCACAACACGCAATTCTGACTTTATATCTCGCAATTCTGACTTTATAACTCAACTGTGACTTTATATCAATCAATTCTGACTTTATATCTTGCAGTTCTGACTTTATAACTCGCAATTCTGACTTTATATCTCGCAATTCTGACTTTATATCTCGCAATTCTGACGTTATAACTCAATTCTGACTTTATAACTCGCAATTCTGACTTTATATCTCGCAATTCTGACTTTATAACTCAACTGTGACTTTATATCAATCAATTCTGACTTTATATATCGCAATTCTGACTTTATAACACGCAATTGCGACTTTATATCTCGCAGTTCTGACTTTATATCACGCAATTCTGACTTTACAACTCAATTCTGACTTTATATCTCGCAATTCTGACTTTATAACTCGCAATTCGGACTTTATATCTCACAATTCTGACTTTACAACTCAATTCTGACTTTATAACTCGCAATTCTGACTTTATATCTCGCAATTCTGACTTTATATCTCGCAATTCTGACTTTATATCTCGCAATTCTGACTTTATAACTCAATTCTGACTTTACAACACGCAATTCTGACTTTACAACACTCAATTCAGACTTTATATCACACAATTCTGACTTTACAACACGCAATTCTGACTTTATATCTCGAGTTCTGACTTTATATCTCTCAATTCTGACTTTATATCTCGCAATTCTGACTTTATAACAAGCAATTCTGACTTTGTTTCTCACCACCAGGGTTTGGGCCAGTTATGCGAGACCATCGAGGAGTGCTGGGACCACGACGCCGAGGCTCGGCTCTCCGCGGGCTGTGTGGAGGAGCGCATCTCCACCGCCTCCAGGGCACCCAACACCATCAACACGTCTACCTCAGAGTGCCTGGTCTCCATGGTCACGTCTGACAGCGACACGGACCTTCCTCCCAAAGAGTCCAGCACCTGAACCTGAACGCTGCAGAGTAATCAACCTCTCCAGTAATGTGAACTTTGCTGCTAATTTGATCTCTTGATCGTCATGTATTTAATTTTTTCGCATCGTTGGATCGGTTTCACCAGCACATTCATCTACTGTATTCTTCCTCTCGGAAGGCAGACACACAAAAAAACCCTCAAACGTGAGAAGACTGAACTCTCAGAGGGCATTCAGGGGATTGTTTCAGACTGCTGGGATATGAGCACACGTTACCTCATCATTTTTAATGCCATTTTTATGTTGTTGGTTTGTTTTTTTGCCTTCACTCCATGAATACCTCCATCCGAACGCTCTACCCCGGATTTATCGAGTCTACGCGACGATCTGATGACTGTTACACTAAAGCAACCTTCCCAAGAGCACACATGGTCCTCTTTGTTCTCAGTGAATTTTAGCGTAGTTTTATTGCTGTTTACCTGTACCCTTTCTTCCCTGAAATGTCTCGTGGGATGTTGTTTTTTCTTATTTGCGTTTGTGACGGCAGTGGTCTGGGACACTGGAAGCTGAAGGCAGCAGGACTGTTATGATTTGAGTTGCCTTTCAGAGCGTCGGGATAGATTTTAATGTAGCATCCGCTTGTCGTTGACGCGTTAAATTGAAGTATCAGAAGTGCCATCAGTAGAGCATCCCGAGCGGCGTGTTTTAGCGTTCGTTGTTTCTGCGTGACAAGAGCTGCAGTTAATTTTTTTTTTTACGCTGCGGCCGCACAAAGACCAGCGCTGCGTTACAGGTTTGATTTTCAATCACAGCTAAATGTATCGGTGCATCAGGAAAGTGTGTGACGTTTCTCCACTACACTACTCAGGTAAACTCTGTGCACGTGATTGTGTGACCGCTCACTTTTACAGCAATAGTTCTCCGCATTATGGTGAATCTCACTAAGAAAAACCAGGGTCATAAATCATTTTCAAATCAAAATGGAAAAAATATTGAATTATACAGTTCTCCAAGAAATTAAAGCTTATTTTTAGGGCCAAGGGTGCTGTTATATTCATAACCGTCAAACACACTTTCACCTAATAATCATTGACGTAATGCTAAACAATTCAAATGAAAAGAAATTTGTGTAAGGAATTTGGTACAACAAAAACTACCTTAAAATATATTTAATTTGTAGAGCACAAATGTAAAATATATTTACAGATGTGCTTAACAAATGTTAAATTTCTTGCATCAGTAGTAAAACTTTTTTTTTTGCACATCACAAGTGATTTAAAAATATATATATTATTATTATTGCCAAAATGGGCTTAATTTTCATGTCACAATATAAAAAAAAATCATAATGGTCCTAAAATAGGATAAGTTTTCTTTAATTTAGCAGAAAATAAAGCAAAATGTGGGCTTTTGCAGCATACATTTATAACCGTAGATAAGGAACAGTTTTTGTCCCACAAGTTATTACCGTAATGCAAAAAAAAAAAACTGTAAAAGTATAGAAATAATTTGTAAAGATTTTTGTTCTAATGATGTGAAGCACAACAAAAATTACTATATTTTATAATTTTAATGTTTGGTTTTTTTTCCATTCAACAAATATTTTTTTTCTTTTTTGCATTACGGTAATGAGAACAAAATGTGCTACACATTTATGAAAATAATGTCAAAGTATATTTACAAAAAACATAATGGTCCTAACAATTAAGCAACAATTTCTCCCCCAAATTATCATTACCTTAATGCAAAATAAAAAAACAAAAGCACAGATTTTTTTATTTTAATTTTTGCACTGTTGTAATGACAATAAAATTCGCTGAAATATCTTTAGGACCATTATGATTTTTTTTTTTTTTTTTTTTTAATATTGTGAAATTATTTTAAAGTTGACTTTATTAACTTTCTAGTTTCTTATTTTTTCTGTTGATGTTTGAGGTGAAAAATGACCTGGACATTTCTTGATTCACGATCATCACAGCAGTGATTTCTCCGAGCTGGCCTGTTTCAGCAATAACTTCAGCAGTGAAGAAGACTGAATGTCCGTAGTGCTGGAATCTGCTCTGTCAAACTGTTCAATCGTCTCATGGACTCCCAGTGTTGTTCAGAAACAGGCAGCTTTTATCAAACTCGTTCAGCGTAACACTAAAACCATCACTGAATATCCACCTTCATTCGCTCAGTGATTAGATATACCTCAGAAATTGTGAGTTTTTTTTATATACAGTATATAAATATATATATATATAAAAAGTATTTTATTCTGTTTTGTGGTAGCAATATAATTTAATATACAGCTGCTTTTCTGTGATTTTAAAGGAGATCTTTTTATTTTTACTCGGTTATTTTTAACAGAAGGTGCTCTGAATTTGATCGCCAGGTGCTCGGTGCATTTCACAAGGTTTTTTTTTTTGTGTGTGTGTGTGTGTGTGTGTGTGTGTGTTTGCTTTGAGTCAAGCATCCACAGTTGAAATAGCTTCTGTGGTTCAGAATAACTGTTCTCTGAGGACATGCAAACCTTTCACAGTTTTTCGTTTGTTTGTTTGTGTGGTACATGTATCTTCCTTCGTCTCCACCTTAACAATTGTATTAAGTTGGATTTGTCTATTATCAAATCAGGGATTTGAAATATAATTAAAGTATTGCAGTGCAAGTTGTGCAAATTTTAGTTTAAGCCAAACTTTGTATCCTATATCAGGTGTTGATGTGTGATGTATATAATGATATTAGATCTGCTAAATGATGTAGTTGAAGCATCTTTTACTCTTGTTATATTTCTCTACGTTTCACATAAATTGAAGAAGTGTTCATACATTAGGACTACCTGAGTACAGATTTCCCATGATCCTTTGCTGGCCTGATGTGGGCTGGTTCTCATTAAGGAGATATGATGGAGGTCTGTTGATGTGTTTTGATTTTTATTATTTTTACTGCTGCTAATGTAGTAAATGTGTTGTGTTGTCCCTGTTTGGGTCATTTCAGATTCTGCTGCCATGTTCAGTATTTTGTTGAAATAAACATTACCCATGTTTCTCACTCAAACGTCATGTTTGTCGTATGAAGAGACTTATTTCTATTTCTCTTTCTCTTTATTGATTGTCTCTTGTCTTTGTATTAGCCTACCCCTCAAAACTGATGCAAATTTTCTTTGGAAATGTTAAAAAAGAAAGGTAAATGAGACATTATAATTCGCAGTTGTGATTTTTTCCGTCAGAATTGTGAGATGTAAACAACTCGCAACTGAATGTGATATTACCTGTAGAAGATTTGACTTGATTCACCACGTTCGTTTATATGAACGAATTGGCCTATATCGTTTTAGACAAACACATTCTAACCTGTAGTTTTCATTTTTTTTATCAATTATACAAATACATTTTTTTAAAAAAGATTTCATTCACTTACACACTTGGCTTTAAAAAAAATATTTGTATGACGCTTTGTTATGACTATATGCAGCAGCAGAGGGCAGTGTGTGTTCATGATCTCTCAGCGCATGCGCTCATGTCGGACAGATGTTGAATGCAAGGTTAGGAAACAACATAACACATGGACAGTCCCATTTAATTCCCACAGAAATCTCGCCTGACTCCTCTGTTCCTGTAAGGATATACGACAATACACCAGGAATGAGAAATTACTGAAATCCTCAGAAAGAGTCACAAGACAACCTGCTAAGGCAATTGGTCGTGAGTGTTTTGGTTTATCAGTTAAAAAAAAAAAAAAACTTCTTTAGAAACCTTTTAATGCAAATATGTTTGCATAAACAGTTCTTAATTCACTTTCCCACAAATTAAAGCCTTAAAACAGAAAGTCTCAAATTCACGAAGTCATTGCATTAAATATGCTGCAGTTTATGTCATGTTTTACGATACAAAAAAACTATAGTCATCCCTGATTGGTCTTAACCCCAGTGACGGGTAGGTTTAGGGGCGGGGTTATGGGTAGGCCATCGTGGGGTCTGGATAACAGGAAAGTACAAAATAAAAAAAACATGAATATCCTTAAATCAAGATATAAAATAAACTTAAGTTTTGTTCCCTTAGGAGAGTGGTAACTACATTGTGTCGCAAAGCTGCGGTAACTCCTCCCTTCACTTTTGTTGAAACCTAATGGGCTAACGTCAGCTTGGAAAAGCTGACCAATTGTCGCGAAGTATGCAAATACTGACAGGCTCGAGGGCATTATAGAATTCATACGCGCGACAATTGCGTCAGAATCTTTTTTTTTTCACGCTGCCATCGCAAAAAATGCACCAGGATGACTAGCAACCTCTTTCTCCAAGCATCCGATGGCTTCAACTTGCCAGATTTGTTCTGGAGGCAAAGATGATGACGGGGCCTGGAGCCGCCACCATCCATCATCATCACGCTCACTCGGCCTCTTCTTAGACGCGAACTTTCTCAAACCTATTTTCTATAACGGGTTCTAATCCGCCCTCTGTTTAGTTTTTTTTCTTTCATTAAAACCGAATATGTTCATCAGTGGTTACAGTCTATATCAAGCAGGAACACATTTGTGTGCATTTTATTTTGTGATTTCACCGGAATGAATAGTCTCCACAACCGCGATAGATTGAAGTGCGTGCAGTTCGCGTCCGATGCCACGGAGAACACTGAACACACATTTTAGCGTTGATCTAAAATGATCTCTTATTTAAGAGCGAACTAAATTAAAGCTCTGCTAGTTAATTGGAAATGTTTTATTTGCATTAGGTACATCCGTGCCTCAATGTTTCCAAAAGTGGTGGGTACAAAATGACTAATGACGAAATCTGTGTCCCCACCGAAATCGACGCCTATGATGACAACTCAATGTTGCTGTCGGCATCGGAGAAGGACTGAGCAGCGCCTGAACCGAACTACTCAGACCAAGTCCTCACAAAAGTAGTTTATTCAGTGTAATAAAGCCTCTCCTTCATTTACATCCATTTAAAAAAACAGCCTCTGGTCTCCTTGCCTGCACAGCATTAACAGGCATTACACTTTTTTCACCTACGGTTGCAGTCTTGCCTTCATTTGTGTACGGCTTTAACATAAAATGAAGGCTATTGGATAATTGAAAAAAACAAGACTTTTAGTATGCCCTGCCTCAACTTCCTGTTTGAATAGGAAACACTTCAACACTGGAAAGACAGCTGTGTTTGTCAAACCATTTCAAGAGATATTTAAAAGTCGCCTGTCTTGTGCACTACGTTTAAGTCTTAATGACTTTGTGTTATAAACAGACCAAAAGTGAAGTCTTTGTTCAAGCAAACTCTCTCAGTTACAAATATTTAGACAAGCTTGATGTTTTCGATTACAACATGCGAGAAACAGACGCAGTGGACAGAAGCTGAACTGAAGCATCCCTCAGACAAACAACAAACCGGTAAGAGACACAAACTTTAAATAGAGCAAGACAGGTATGATGTTGTGAAAAATGAATGTTGTAACTTCTATTGATGCAGTGTGGAATCATTTCAACAGATTTTAATGTCAGGGTCATGATGACACGTTTTATTTCGTGATCATGACATGCTGACTCCATGCAAGATTAAATAATGGCAAAGGAAATGCATTAAAATGAACAACATAAAAAAATAAAATAAAAAAAAAAGCCTTTTTCAGGAAAAGTCTCTTTTTCAGTTTAGTGGAAATAAGCAGAGCTTCCCTCCGGGTCAGGATTTCTCCAAACCTTTCTAAGCCCTTGCTGACCCAACAGATGGACGGCGTTAATTGCATTTTTTTTTTCCTATGGTGGATTATTATGATCATATTATGATTTTTGTTTGTTTCTCAGAAGATGGTGCTGTACACATTTGCTTGTGTATTTCAAGAACTGGAATCATATTTCCATTGTAGCGTTCCATGGTGTCATCATATGAACATTTATTAATTCATTCATCGATTATTTTGAACCCACACATTCCCACAAATGGTGACTGAATTGACCAAACTATTCGTATTGATATCTCCCAAAAGTCTTATCAGAGATATCAAAATAGCAAGAGACGATTCGATGATATACATTTTTGGGGGTATTTTCATGAGGTCAAAGGTCACAAATGTGCTTTGCTGCTGATGTCATGCACTTTATGTCTCAGTGTCAGTGTTTTTTTTTTTTTCAAACGCACGCATGCAGATTTTGTAGTCTTTATGACAGTTTAACCTGGCTTTACTGAGTTGTTGTTATTAATATATACACACACATATATACTATATATACACACAAACAAACATCCATGTGTATTTAATGATATATATATATATATATATATATATATATATATATATGAAGAGTTCAGATGCAAAAGCCTCTAAATGCCATTTGAAATTTTCTTCTTTAATGATGATTTTTATCAAACTTGTATATTTAAGTTCAGTAATTTCACTTAAATAACAATTAATAGGTAATCTTCATTGCCATTTAAGTGAAATTACTGAACTTAAATATACAAGCTTGATAAAAATTATCATTTTAGAAGAAAATTTCATATGGCACTTAGAGGCTTTTGCATCTGAACTCTTCATATATATATATATATATATATATATACACACACACACACACACACACACACACACACACACACACACACACACACACACACACACACACACATATATATATATACACACATATATATACATACATAGAAACATCAGGTGTCTTCAATAATGCTTAATAATCACTAAATTATTCACTTAATTATCTCATTAACTTTAACACTACTTCAGTGTCCATTTAACACTCTGCTCAGAATTTATTTAATTCACACTCTCAGTGTTAATTTAACACTGGGGATTTTGCTGTATATATATATATATATATATTCATATACAAACATTTATGATGTGAATTTAGTATGTGTATCACACAGAGACACACACAGTACTCAAATACACATCATGAATGTATTTACAGTTAGAATTTAATTTTGTGAACATGAATGTGCATATATTATCAATAGTACCTTTTCATACAGGTTTTGACTTGTATGTAATTTCAATTAACATTTTTAGTCTATTGTTATAACTTAATCAGAAGGCTAGACCAATGAAGCGGAGCTTTTCCATGGTGGCCATGGCAACGGTAATGCACACATCCTGATTAATAATGTTCACATCCTTAAATCCAGGAAGTGAACAAATGATGATCTTCATCAGTCATTCCTCTGGCGCTAATCTAATCATATTTACTCACTGATCGCGTTATTTTGCTGTCAAAATAAAAAATAGCAAAACACGTTTTTTTTTTTTTTTGTTTTATGTTCAAAATCACTTTTTTGTTGTTAATTTAGATGTGCATGTGCGTGTGTATGTAATTAGTTATAGTGCATTTTAATCTTTAATAATGGGTTTCCTTTAGTTGAGCTTAATCCCAGCCACATGTTCAGATGTTTAAACATCAGATCAGTTACGCAGGCACATTCAGTAAAGTGCATTTTTTTTAAAGAGAGACACAAAGAATTAAAATTAAAGCATGTTCAGAAAATAACTTGAAAAAGTATATAATAGTACAGTGTCACAAGCAAAATAATGCTCTCTATAGAACGACTTGGCAATTCCAAATCTACCATTTTGGTTCAAGATTTTCTGTCCATCACAGTTCAAAATATACCAATATTATTAGGAATTTAGCTTTAAATTTACCATTATTTAGCCAGCATTATGCATTTCATTAGCACTTTAAGACTATTAGATTGATCATTTTTTTCTGATAAAATATTTAAAATCTTTGAAAAGAAACACCAAGCATTCATATTACCAAATGGAAAAGGCAACCGCATTTGTGTGTTTCTAAAAGTTATCAGTTTTAAGGTCTGTGACTGTGTGACAGAGAGCGAACTAAAGTATGAGTGCATTTGTGTGTAATTAAAACAAGTGATTATTTTCCGCTGGGATTATCCTGGAGGTCCAGCTGGTCTGTGGAGGATTTGAACACCCTCGCCCTGGGCTGGAGAAAGGGCAAACTCCCAGGGGACGCAGCCAAATTGGCTCCCTAACCAAGAGCCCAGAGCACGAATTTATGCATACTGTTCCCAAATCAACAAAAACTGCCCCGC